CAACCGCCTTTGCATCTCGCCCGACAAGCGATACCTCGCCGCCGCCGGTCACCACACGGTCAAGCTTTACGATATCAAGTCCACAAATCCGAACGCGATCCTCACCTTCGACGGTCACACCTCCAACATCACCGGTGTCGCGTTCCACTGCGAGTCCAAGTGGCTGGTCACCTCGTCTGAAGATGGCACGGTCAAGATTTGGGACACGCGATCAGGCAACGTTCAGCGCAACTATACTCATGGTGTTCCGGTCAACGATGTCGTCATCCATCCAAACCAGGGAGAGCTCATCAGCTGCGACCGCGGTGGTAACGTGAGGATCTGGGACCTGGGAGAGAACAAGTGCTCTCACCAGCTCATTCCAGAGGACGACGTCAGCGTGGCTAGTGTTACGGTTGCAAGCGATGGAAGTATGGTCTGCGCAGGCAACAACGCCGTGAGTCTGGCCGGATGAAAGTATCAAACCTTTGCTAATACCGCATGTCAGGGCAACGTCTACGTTTGGCGCATGATCCAGCGCAGCGATACCACCTCGATCCTCCCCATCTGCAAGTTCGTGGCCCATACCACCTACATCACCCGCGTCCTCCTGTCCCCCGATGTGCGTCATCTAGCCACCTGCTCCGCCGACCACACGGCGCGCATCTGGTCCGTCGATCCTACCGCTCCTCATAACGTCACGCCCACCGACAACCTACCGGCAGCTAGCGAGCGCGACCCAGCTGCCTTCCCTCTAGAGACTACGCTACATGGTCATCAGAGGTGGGTCTGGGATTGTGCCTTCTCCGCCGATAGCGCCTACCTGGTTACCAGCTGCTCGGACCACTACGCAAGGCTGTGGGAGCTTGGTAGCCAGAGCATCATCCGGCAGTACAACGGACATCACCGTGGTGCTGTCTGTGTCGCGCTCAACGACACGGCCGTCGGCAACTAGGAGATCCACACTCTACGCACATCTGATTGGCATGATATGATACCCGCCACCCTAGCGTGTGAAGGATGAGGGAGAAAGGATTCCGGCATTTGCATCAGCGTTGGCGTTTCGGCACGAGGGGATGGAAGGGTAATGAGTTAATGACACTTTGGCGTTTACGGCGAATGAGGTAACTTCTAATATGGATGCGGGAACGGGTCACCAAGGTCATGAAAGTTTCGCACAACGCAAAAGCGACGATGCGCCTGGAAAATGTGTTATAGCAGACAGAACAAAAAATCTGACATGGAAATTTCCACTACGAACTCTTAACGCCCGTTGACACAGAAAACAATCTTGAGGCATCTTCAATTCACGTCCGCCGAATCTCCTCCCGAAGTTCTTCAGTTACTCAAAGCCGTACCTAGCTTATGGGCAGTCCTTTGCGCAGGCGTCCTACCAGTACGTTAGTTTCTTCGATCATTTCTCCACGCTCCGAGACCTTGAACCTACATAGTTCTTAATCTTGCTCTGCACGCACGCATCGAAACCAACTTTCTTCTCGCACAAACACGATACGTGCCTACATTACACCGTTAGCACCGAGCTCAAACTCATACCAACGCGATAAATGCAGAGATTGCAGTGTGAGCGGGATATCAAACGTACATATCCCACTCCTTCTGACACTTCCCACACCCCGCCGGCTCAGCCCTCTTCTTACACCCCTCCACACTTTTGCTTTGCATTCCATTTCCCCTCTTCACATCGGCATTGACGGGGGTGTCGGCACTCTCGTCCTCCGCGGCATTCTCACTCGCAGCATCCAGCACAAGAGCCAGCTCCTCTGCTTCCTTCTCGGCGGCTGCGTCGTAGTACGTAGACGAATCGTATTTGTCAGGAACGGCGTTGGCAAGAGCGCGCTTGTCGGACATCTGAGGAGAAGAGGAGCCGATACCGCCGCCGGGGAGGTCGATGTCGGGAAGCATGTTGTCTACCATTTGGCCGGAGCCAGATCCAGATACCGGATCTGGGTAGAAGGCTGTGGGAAGGGGAGGAGGGGGGTTGGAAGGGTGGACTGGGGCGGCGGATGCCAGAGCGCTGAGGGCTGTGAGGAGGAATAGCGTAGGCTTCATTGTTGCGTGGTTGTGGGTGTGGTATAGTATGGCTGTCTGGATAAAATGGGAGCGTGCGAGTCTAGAAAGCAAGAAGGATGTCAGAGAGGGCGGTGGCATTTATGCATAGGAACTCGCTGTCGGTCTTCACGTTACCAGATGTCATATCTCAAACAATCAATGTCCTTGACATCACACTCCATGGACAGACACATAACGCTGTACGGTGACCAAACTCTAACGTACAATTATTCAAACTACACCCTCAATCACCTCCCCCTTCTTCTCTCTTCAAACCTCCCAACACTATCCCCAACCCCAAACCCATCCTTCAACAACCCACCCACATCCTCCAACCCCAACCCCGCCGTCTCAGGATAAATCCTCCAAATAACAATCTCCGCAACCACACAGACGACAGCATACAACGCAAACGTCCCCACCGGAGTAAAAACATTCATCATGGGCAAAAACGTAATCCCAATAAACGTATTCGACCCCCAGTTCGTCGCCGTCGACACCGCAGAACCCAGCGACCTTACAGACAAGGGGAAGAGTTCAGATTGCTGCCAAGGAACGTTACCCATGCCTATCGCGTAACCGGCGACGTATGTTATCATGGAGAAGAGGATGACTAGGGGCCAGATCTTGTTGTTGTTGTTGTTGTCGCCGGCAATAACAGTGGCAGTGGTAGTGGCAGTAGCGGAAGCTTCCTCGGTGGGCAGGTCGATGAAGAGGAATGCGATGGCGCAGAGTGCGAGGCCGATGATCATGATGGGGACGGACCAGAGGAGGATACGGCGGCGTCCGATGCGGTCGATGTAGTGGAAGGCTACGAGTGTGAAGAGGAAGTTTGTGATGGCGATGGAGAGCGAGGTTAGGGTTGGGGAGGCGAAACCGACGAGGCGGAATATTGTGGCGGAGAAGTACATTAGTGAGTTCTGGGGGTGGTGTTAGCGGGAGTGTCATACTCTGATATGTTCGAGTGGTACGAGTGGGGATATCTGTTGCTTGGATGTGGGGGAGGAGACTTACAAAGCCGCACAGTTGCTGGAAGCCCTGAAGCATACAGGCGATAATCAAGGCTCGACGGTTCCCTCCAATGACGATCAGTTGAGAGAAGCTGTCTTGCACCCTCTCCTTCTTAGCTCTCCAACCGATCTTAGCCATGTCAGGAGTCCCTCGCAATCCAGCCGCATCTTCCTCCTCTTCAATCTCCTTCTCTACCCGCCTCAGCACAGCGTTCACCAACTTCGCCCCACTTTCCTCACTTTTGTACACACGCCCCAATACCCTCTTCGCTTGTTGCGTCTTTCCAGCCTTTACAAGGTATCGCGGTGTCTCCGGCAGGAAAAACAGCATAACGAACTGTATAGCAGCTGGCAGCGCCCCCAAACCCACCATCCACCTCCACCCATGCAATCTTTCCGAAAACAACCACCCAACAATATAAGCAACAACCTGGCCCCCAGTAATGAACAAACTGCTCACAACCACCAGTCGTCCGCGGAAAGGGCTAGGGCTGAGCTCCGAGATATACAGCGGAACAACGAACGACGCGCTTCCAACTGCTGCGCCGACAATGGACCGACCCACGATCATGCCGCCCACACTGCTTGTCCATGCCTGCAACAGGGCGCCGAGTATGAAGAGAATGTCTGCGACCAAGATCACGGTTTTGCGACCGTATGCATCAGCGAGGATACCCGTTAGGGGCGAGGCGAGGAGTGCGAAGAACGAGGTGCAAGACGTAATCAAGCTCTTGTCGAGGGTGGTCAGGGGACGGGAGGAGAGATCGGTGTTTATGGATATGAGGGTAGAGGATATAACACCGGTGCTGTTGTAGCGTTAGTATAATGTTGTTACTCCCATTTTCTATACATGCCATGAGGCATGGCGCAAAAGACCGCGATCATAGATGCGACGTACTCATATCCAAACAGTAACCCGGAGACCCCGGCGCATATAGTCAGACACCATATGAACAGGCCTGGGGATACCAAGGCACTCTCGTCCACCTCGTCGTCTCTTATACTCGCGTCGTCGGCTTCATCGTAGCGGTCGCGTGCATCGTTCGGAACGCGGCGGTCGGTGGAAATCAAGGGCTCGGCTGCAGCGTCGTTCATGCTGTCTAGTTCTACGTCTTCATCTGAGCGCGGCATACAGCACACACATACATAGGAAGCGTGTTCGGGAGAGAGAGCAGGGACGGGGCGCTGGCGGAGGTTATCTGGGGTAGTGTCGGAATGGCCGCGGGAGTGCGGAATGCTCGAGACACGCTAGTGGGTGGGCCAGATCTGTGCCTGGTGATCCATGTCACCTGCAGAGTAGGCGGTACCAGCGGCACTAGGAGATGCCAGAATTGGTGTTGCTTGCCGCCTACATAGGAGCCTGTTCACACAAGGTTTCGTCTGAAGCTCAAGGATCAAACATACAATATCCTATATGCTACGTTATCTTTACGATGCAATGTCGCGACACGGACTCGGCCAATCTCTTGTGGCGGGTCATTGCAGGCACATGAACGAGGTTTGTGAACTTATAGTATTGATAGTAGTTCAGCAGCATATGCTCACATGAGCCTGCTCTGCTTGCTAGTAATTTTCCACCCCACCCCTGAACGCTGCCTCGAGGACGGAAAACGCCAAAGCGATTCTCATGACTTGCTCCTTCCTGGCGCGTTGCGATCGCGTGTAGCGTAGCGATCGTCCCAATTCCCTCCCTCTCTTGTCCCATATTGCATGCTCATGACCTGCAAGGTTGTCGTCCGTACCATGATCTTTTATGCACCCATTATGCCCAGTCAACGCCTGTCGCTATGCCTCAAGCCACTTATCATGGTGACTAATCAACCCACCCACGCTAAGCGCATAGCAAAATCTGGTAAAACAGGCAAAGAGAGCATGTAATGAAGGTCAGGCAGCAGACGCTGCGGACGCCGCTTGTTTGCGGTGAACCTGGTTTGAAGATTCTCATTTGGGCTCAGCGTTGCCGTCCGGTGCATGGTTAGCGGGGCCAGTGGGTGGAGCTTGGGGACCCGATGAGTGCTGCGGCATCATAGGCTGCGAGTAACTTCCGCTGGGTGTACCACGATGTTGCTGGGGGAACTGGTGATGTTGTTGTGGTGAGCCGTAGTGACCACCTTGGTATTGTTGCTGGAAAGGTCCTCGCATTGGAGCCACTAGAGTGATGTTAGTCGACTATTGCATAAATAACGATGAATGTGTACTTACTGGCTCCTGGCTGCATTTGGTACATCTGAGGAGCTGGTGCACCAGGCTGCATGTACATCATAGGGGGTTGCTGCTGGTGGTGGCCTTGTTGCGATCCTTGATGGCTCATCATTGGTGCACCTGGCCTGGGGCTAGGGAATCCGTTGGCGCCAGGAGGCATGTGAGCCGGGTACTGAGGATACGCAGGAGCGGGAGCGGGAGAGTACATCTGCATCTGTGGATTACCTGGCATTCCCATAAAGGGCCCATTTGAAGGCTGATTCGTCATCATCTGGCCCCCCATCGCCGGCCCAGGGCCGTTCATGAATTGACCGCCTTGTGGGTTGCGCATAGTGGCATGCTGCATGCCGGGACTCATGCCGTATTGCGGAACTTGCGGAGGGTAGCCTTGCATTGGCTGGGGCTGTGCGCCATACATGTATGGCGCCATCGGCCGTGGTGAAGGCTGAACTGATGACGTTGAGTGCGAATATTGCATGTGTTGGGCTCCGAAATGATGTTGGTCCTGACCGATATGCGGCTGTATCGGAGGTCCCCGTGGGGTGTGTTGAGCTGTCGGTCCTTGTGACATACCTTGGGCGCCCTGGAGGTGAGGTGGTAACTGATGCTGATGAGGCATGGGGCCGTTGGGCATGACATGCTGTGGTACTGATAAGGGCGCAGCTGGAGGAGCATGATCAAATAGCTGCTCATATCCCTTGTTCGTGTTCGAAGAGGGGAAATCCCACGTAGGCGGGGTTTTGTAAGGAGGTGCAATATCGGAGTGATGCGAGTTCGCGTTCGACTGCGCCTCTTTCTCAAGGCGTCCGATGGCATTGAAGGTCGTCAGTCCGTCCAGTGATTTAACAGTGGGCTTCGGGCCAGTAAAGAAGTTGGTAACAGGAGGCTTGCGAACTTCTTGCCTAGACGAGGTTGGCCTAGGACTGGAGGTAGCGCTAGGAGTTCCACCAGGCTGGAAGGTGTTTGCAGCCGGGTTGGGCTTGAACTCATGGGCGCGAACGTTGAACCTTGTAGACATGCTGGAAGAAGGCGTCTGGGCACCACTCGAGGGCTGTGAAGGACCAGTAGGTGGTATGCGCATATCCTGAGCTGGTATCGGTTGAGGAACGCCGTTGTATGGCATGGCACCTTGCTGCTTATGCTGCTGGTGGTTCATCTGCAGACGAGTGCTGAGTAGTCCTTGGTTGCGAGGAGGAATCTGGTTCATGTTCTGGTGGGAACCCCGCATAGAAGCAGACGCATAGGCTGGTTGCCCTGGTCGAGCACGTTGATTTTGTTGGCGTTCTGCGTTGGCGCTAGGAGATGCTTGGGTGGACTCTGGCTTAACAGCAGATCTTGCGGCAGCTTTGGGGTCTGCCATGGTGTTGGCCGCCTTCGGAGGTGTAGTCTTCATTTCCTGCGCTTGTTTGTTGGCCTTGTCGACGATAGCCTGCTGCTTTGTCTCGTCCTTAGCGAGTATGGGCACAAGATCTGACGGTACCGGCGTGCTCAGTTTGAAGTTGAGCGCGAACTTCTTAAGATCGTTGAGCTTCACAGCCTTGTTCTCGCGGGCGAAAGCCCTCTGGCGATCGGAAATCCGTAGTTTCTCAGCGGCCGAGAACTGCTTGAAGGAGTCAAGCAGGTCGTGCTCGACGTTGGTAGTTGCGTCGTGTGGCCGTCCAGCTTTCCTAGGAGGGATGGCAGCAACCCCAGATTTGATCGTACTACTTGGCTTCTGCAGCTGTTCCGCAATAACCTTGTGCGCATCGACTGGTTTTGATGCAGGCTTGGGTGCGTCCTTGCTGGACTCTTGCGTTTTGCTAGGTTCAGGCGCAGCTGCTGCTGGTGCTGGTGCGGCGGGACTTGCAACACGTTGTGTCGACTGCGAGGCAGGCCGTGCGACGGAAGACGAGATGATGGCAGGGTCCACCGGAGCGCCGGGCACCGTCGCCTCAGGGGCGGGGGCACGTCGTGCGGGTGGGGTGTACCGGTTGGACTGGCCGCTTGACAGGTTTGTCAGGTCTCGTCGTACTCCACTGTACTTGTCCTCCTCATCGCCATTGTCATCGGCCGCAGTGTATCCTCCGCGCTCTTCGCGGACGTGCGAGTTGGTTGCGCTGCTACCTTCAATCTCTCGGGCAATCTTCTCAGCACGGGCAAGTCGTTCCGCATACTGTGGGTCATTCTTATTGATGGTGGTGGTGTAGATGTTCTCGTCGTAGTTGCTCTTCACACCGAACAGGCGCTCGTTGGCGGAGAACTGGTCCCAGTCGTTCGAACGGCCGGTAGACTCGAGCGTCATGTTGGGATCAACCTCGGACGGTTCCCACTTCTGAAGATTGCGTTCACGGAGTTCGAGCTTGCCAGAAATGTCGGTATCAGTGCGGAAGCCTGCGGTACCTTTTTTGTTAGCTTGGCATAGAAAGGCGATGTAGACTTTGGTACACACCATTCTGGCCCTTGAGCTGGGACTTGTCAAGGACAACGTTGTTGACATTGAAATCTGCCACATCGCTCATGTCAAATGACATGACGTGGTAATCGCCTGAGCCAACGTAGTCGTCGGACAACTGGCTCGTGCCGTTGGTCTGAGCGTTGCTGGTGGGCAGGAGCTTCTTGACCATCTTGAAAACATAGCGCAGCTCGCTGGGGTCGAGTGAGGTGCCTGAGAGGACACCGGAGTACTTTTCGCCATTCTTCAGCGTAATGATGCCCGGAAGACCCTGGTTGTGTCATCAGCACTGTTCACCCGCATCGCATGGAAAGCCAGCTGTCACTTACCGTCAGATTGGCCAGCAGGTACATCATACGGTCGCTGAGGTGCCTCATCGGGGAAGCGTTGTCGGCGGAGGCAGCCGTCGAGCCTTGTGGGGGCTTAGGTGAGCTTACGGCACCGTTGGGGGTGGGGGAGTGAGTCGGTCGCTGTGTGATGGGATTGGTGCCCTGGGTCCATGCCGTTTTGGCGGGAGGTTTCCTGCAAGTCGCCCGGTCAGCATGGCGCCAGGTGCAAGTGGGGAGGGTGTTGTCGAGGACAGAGCATTGGGACATGAGGCAATTGAGCACAGTAGACGGGGAGAGGGCCATCGAGTGGACAGGGCAGTCGCACCGTGACTCCATGTGACCAGCCGCACGTCACACGAGAATATCCCGCATGGCGGGAGCACTCGAGGCATGCCTCTATGTGTCTGCAATGCAAGGAACGCGGGGCAGGAGTGTAGGAGACGTGTTTATGGGGAGTGCAGGGCAGGCGCTTACTTCTGACCGCCGTCGATGGGGCTTCCGGGCTTTCGCTGCTGTGCGTCGATGCCTTTGGCGGCAGTGCTCATCTTCAGTGGCCGGGCGGGATTGGCGGCGGGGTTTAGAGCATTGGAGGAGGTATTCGGAGTCGCAGCGGCAGTGGACATGGATGGGGAGAGCAGGGCGCGGGCGAGCTCGGTAGCGTGGGTCGGTGGTTCGGTTTGTGGTTGCGGGAGAAGGAGCGACGGGCGGGGGAGGAAGGAGCTCCAACTCTAGGGTGAGAGTAGCGCAGGACGCTCAATGCGGCAGCAGGCGCAGAGTCGACGTGCGTGCGAGGTGGACAGCCGGACGGCGGAGGAGCGGTGGTGACTTGGTATAGGAGGCTGTGCCCGATTGAACAGCCAGAAGTCGAGAGTGAGGTGCAACGCCAAGCGGATCGCCTGGATGAAACACAAGTGCAAGGTGTGCGGGAACTAGGCCAGCCTCAGGCAGTAGCCGTGAAGGCTCGGACGACGGCACGAGGGCGCAACGGTCAGGCAATCCACAGGCTGGTGCGCGAGATGAATAGAGGAGACACTGGGTGGACGGCAGCGGATATGTGGACCTGGCACTGTCACAATTGCCTGACCTCTGTTGCTATCGCGATCACGGGCGCTGCCAGCCAAGAGCGTTGCTGTCCGAGGCGAGACCTCACGCCTCACTCTGCTCCCATTCTGCGCTGCTCGTGTTGTCCGAGACGCCTGCAGTAAACAATACTAGAGCTTGCATCACCAAATACGGGGCAACACCTGTTCGTCGCGCTCCAAGCATGCTAGAGTACTAGAGTGCATGCACACAACGGTTACCCCAGTCACCACCCACCCAGCAGCAGCAGCTTGATGTGGTAGCGCGAAGAGAGGCCGGATGCCGGCCGTAGTCTCCAGGGCTGCAGCTACATCGCAGACTCACGTCAGAAGCCTACCTAAGCGACGGGGCGTCACATGTTCCATGGTTTTGCCTGTCGCTAACCGCAGATGCATGCCCAAGACAGAGGTGCAATCATCAAGACGGCTTTCACCAACTACCATGGCAACCTCTCGTGTCCGTCCATGACGTAGAGAGGCTCAACGATGGAATAAACAATTTCTGTGAGGTTGGACGTGAGACTGCTCCACGTGCCGCCCAGCCACTCTCGTGTTAGCTCGCCCCAGGCATCTCAGACGTCGGTGCACCCAACGTGGTCGCCAACACTGCCAGGATAGAGCGTCGTGCCCTCGCGCTCCCAGTCCGGCCCTTCACTCTGCTGCTGCCGCACACCTGCGCCACACGCCCTCGGCACCATGACTGAGGAGTCGTCTTCTGTCCGCTCGTCTCAGGGGTCCTCGCGCCGTGCGCCCAAGAATGTACGTGGGCCCTCTCTCTCTCCGCATCCCGCGCCCAACACCAAACAACCGTCACTGACACCGCATCCAATGCAGCCCCAGCAGCAGCTCTCGCAGATAGAGAAGTCCGTCACACACCTGCTTGTGGCCACCAAGCAGCTCCTCGGTGCGTCCCCGGCGCATGCAGCCCCGCATACACACGTGCTAACACGGTGCAGAGACGTTGACACTATGGTCGCGCGGGACCGCCACCGAGAGCGAGGTCTCGGACGTCTACGTGCGTCTGGGCTATGAGTTCAACATCGCGTCGCGCGCCTTCAACGCGATTGGCGTCGACACCAACGACCTCGGAAACGTTCCCGAACTACTGCGTGGCATACTGGAGGAGACGCTGAGCCAGGAAGCATCGCAAGCGAGCCTCGACAATTTCCTGCCGCGGATACGAGACATCATCATAAACCTCCTGCACGGTCTGAAGAAGAAGCAACAGCGGTTACGGCAGCGCACAGGAAGAGATGGCTCGCTCAACGGTGGGGGCAGTCCGCGCCAGGGCAGCGTTGGGAGTAGTGGTGATGTCGAGGAGCACCAACAACCGCGATCCGCAAGCACAAGACTGCCTTCAAGAGGGGACAGTCCGTCGTTTGGCGGCCCCGACCTCCCACCGCGCTCGTCTTCGGTAGCTGGCGGCCGCGCCTCTCCAAGCAAGTACGATGCCCTCCCTTCGAACCCGAAAGCGAACCGCTCGACCACCGCCAGCCAACTATCCACCGACTCGTCCATTTCGAGCGGCACCGCCCAGCAAATGCCTGTCATTGCTCCGTATCCCGCAGACGATTCCATGCCCAAACCGCCTGACCCCCCGCGGCCTAACTACCCCGTCGATTTCCCACCACCTCCACCTCCACCGAAACAGGAAGATGCGCTCGCGGCATTGCAAAGAGGTGGTGAGCTGGAGCGCAGGGCTTCGCGCCGATTTTCAGCATACCAAATCCAGAAGCATCTTGGAACAAATGGCATACCACTTCCACCTGTCCAGAATTCGCCCATACCGAATAGGGGTCGGGATGTACGCGAGTCTATGAACGCAGTGCGGACCAGGCAGTCCATGATGCACAGTCGCCAGCGGTCAAATCAGAGTCTCACGCAACAGCGGCCTGCGGTGGAAACAAAGTTCTCCTTTGATCAGCCCAATGAGAGACGCATTTCCGAGGAAAGTTCGCAAAGCGCCACGCCGAGCATTCTGCCACCAAAAGAGTCGGGTCCTGAAGACAGCCCCGTCCAGAAGACCCCAGACGATAAACTCGCGCAGCCGAAATTCCCAGAAGGCGACCAGTTCTCGCTAGGTGCGACGCTTAATGGTCCGTTATCAGAGCCAGCTGAGCTTGGAGCCGCATCACCGGTTAAAGAAGACCCGCCCAGGCCTTCAGCCAGCCGTAACAGCTCCTACAGAGTCAAGACGCCCTCTCCACAGCCCTCTCAGTTCATTCCAGAACAGTCACCTCAACAAGGGAAAGAGCTTACCTTGTTCCTCCAGTACAAAAGCAAGATCAAGAAATACGTCTTCACAGATGGTGCTGAGCTTTCTTCGGCCCGCCTGCAACTCGCTTTTATCGAAAAGTTCGCCTGGGATACCCACCGTTACGGCGACCTGCCTGAAATCCACATCCAGGACCCCGTTTCCGGTGTACGATACGAGTTGGAGGATATCAACGATATCAAAGACAGGTCTGTACTCGTCCTGAACGTAGAGCAACTAGACGAAGTAAAGAGCCATATCGATGATAAGTTTGGCGGACTCAGCAAACTGGTGGAGAGCATCAAGACAGTGGTCGAGGACCAGCAAGCAACTATACAACGCGTGGCCGAACGTCAACAGCAAACGACAAAGGAGATCGCTGGTATATCAGCGGCACCTCTTTCTTCAGCTCGCAACTCCGCCTTGCTACCCTCTCGTCCCATACCGTTAGGCACACCCTCCGAAGCCAACATTACTTCAGCCACTCAAGTAAGCGAGGTGCAATCGCTACGCCGTGATTTGGCTGTCATGCGACAAACATACTCATCTTTTGTATCGGATATACAAGCTAGCATGTCCACCATACGCACAAAGGCCAGTGCTGTGAAGTCCACTGCTATCAAGGCTGCCTTACCCGCACTCGATGGAGACAGCGGTCGCGCTTACATTAACGCTGGCAAGAAGGGCCTGCAAGACGACTCGGAGAAGATTGTCAACAGGGTAGATGACCTACAAGATCTTGTTGAAGACCTCAGAAAGGACGTCGTTCTGCGTGGCGTGCGACCTCTGCCCCGCCAACTCGAAACTACCGCCAAGGACCTGTCGACAGCCACTGCCGAGCTCAAGAAGCTGCAAGATCTTCTGGCAAAGGAGAAGCCTCTCTGGACCAAGATTTGGGAACAGGAGTTGCAGACTGTGTGTGAAGAGCGAGACATGCTCACTATGCAGGAGGAACTCGCAGCCGACTTGCAAGATGATCTCGAGAAAGCAGCCCAAACACTTGAGCTGGTCGAGCAGGCAACCAAACAGCAGAATCTTGAAAGCGAGAAAGAGTCTGGAAAGGGGATGCGTTCAGCTAGTGGCCGTAACATGCTCAATGCAGTTGCTCTCGACAAAGTTGTGGATCCACGCCAGGCCCGCGATGGAGTACTTGGAGAAGTCAAGGCCCTGCAACCAAACCATGAAGGCAGGCTCGAAGCCATCGAGCGAGCGGAAAAGGCGCGACAGCGGGATCTTGAGACGAGGAACGATGACGAGTTCAAGCGCGAGCTTGGAAACTTTGTCGAGGAAGGCAAGCTCAAGAAGAGCGGCGGCGTCGAGGAAGCAGAGCGCCTCCGCAAAGCAAAAGATGAGCGCGCACGAAAGGAGAACTTTGAGCGAGAAGCCGCAAGACAAAGAGCCAAAGCAGAAAAACAGCAGAGGGAAGCCGAAGCTGCTGCCGCTGCCGCTGCCGCCGCGGCTGCTGAACCAAACGGCGACGGTGCTGATGGCCAAAACGGAGAAGCGGAAGCTCCAGCAGAGAATGCAGAGGAGGCCAAGGGAGATGAAGGTGGTCCTGCCTAGACGCCTACCATCTATTCCTAGCCTTCCCGTCTGTATTTGAGCTGATCCGTGGTCTTAGATCTCCCGAAAAGACAATTTACAATCCGCCCCTGGGTCAAGACCGGCGGCGTTCCGCTATCGATGCAAATGAGATTTGTCGCAGCTACGGGGCTGGACCTACCAGTAACGGCAGTGTCATCTACGTATACGCCCACGTCTTCGTCTCCTTCTACTTCTACAGAGAGTATAGACCCGCTCATCTCAACCATCAGAGTCGTGACTAGCGCAACACACATCGATGACACGTCTTCGAAATCGGAGACAGACAATATACATCCGCCCATGCGACCAAGCATTATGCCTAGAATACATCGCGATATACCAACATCTATTACACCAACATCCTATTCCGGCGACACGGACACACCATCGCCGATCCTACCTTCGAATTTCGGCCCCCGACTCGCAATCTCACGAGGTGGAACGCCTAGAGCTTCTCACTCATATCGCACACCCAAGCCTTCTCACAGTTTCCACGGTCGCGACAAACCCAGCTCAGGTACATCGCCTGTACGCGCACGCGGCATGACTTTCCCACGCGCCTCTCCCAGAGTGACCAAGTCCAACTCGCAGAAGACGTTAGATGCCAACCCGCATACGCCCGAGAGTAGCAGCGCAGACAGTTTTTCACAGAGCGACAGCGATAGAGATAGAGACACAGATAGTGTACTCTCCTTCACCCCCAGCATGGGCGGAAAGAACCTAGCCAACTGGTTTTCCGGCCTGTTGGGAAGATGAGTAGAATAGCGTGTGTACATAAAGAGAGCAGCAATCGGCAAAGTCCTATACGTCGTGTTCCCTTTCAAGCGAGCGGTGTATGGTATCTGTACTTTATGTAATTATTGGTGGTAGCATCGGTAATGGCGTTAGTGTTGGTAATAAGGTTATGCATAGCGATCAAGGCGTTTGGGCACCATTGGTATGAGATATGTTGGTATTGTGGGATGATGGCGAGATGTTGATACGCGGTGAAGTGGGATAATGCAATGGATCACGTATCATCTCAGATGTTTTACTCACCATTGACGTGCCCTGCAAATTGTCTTGGCAAAGGTGAAAGTGTAAGCACACTGACAAATGTCTAGATCAATTGGCGCGTTCAGGGACAAAGCGCACGGTCGCTGGCGCACAGCAAACAAACGGTCGCATACGAGAAAATTCTATGGGTTCGATTGATGAGATTCTTCTATTCCACGTTCGTCACCAGACCTGAGTCTCTCAACGCAAATCGCCGTTATGTCGGCGCCCACTATCATCCCGGATCGCACATTGCACGATGCAATTATTGCCGCGCTCTCTCTCGAGACTCAGTCCGAGAAAGAAGAAGCCCTGACTGCGGCGCTCAAAAGCTGGCAAAACCATGGCGACGGGACTTGCTCTCCTCACCTACTCGTTCACGTACTTCAAAACGTGTACAAGCTCCCAGAGCTACCTACGACACTCAAAGACCAGGACGCGTCGGACTTTGATACACTGAAAAAGGTCTGCAAAGAGCTCAAGTTCACATTATTCTTCGCGTCCGTAAAGAAACTGCTCGGCTGTAATCTCTTCGTGGAAATCCGCGGTGCCCGGAGATGGGAGAACAGCCGGCCCAAAATCGATCCAACCAAAGATCACACTATTAGGGTCGATCAACTAAACTTAACGCGAGTCATTGACTTGGAGGGAAAGCTACGTGCATTGCGACTACCCGTGCGAGATACTGAAGTCACACAGAAGGAAGCCTTCACACATGATACTGCTCAGATTGAAACTGAGGTTGAAGGGAAAGAGATGGGTGGTGGTATGGAGGCTGAGCTATTTCACCAGTAAGGTCAGCCCATTTTTATACGTCTGAAGCTAACTTGATCAAAGGCATGTCAAAACTGCGCTCGTCATCATACCTCCGCGCAATTTTCGCGCCTTCGATGTTCGTAAGCGTTTCATGCTCAGTCCTGAAGGCAAAGGAGTCGAAGCTGCTCTCTTCATGGTCAGTGGATGGGAATATGCCAAAGCGGAACCCATAATCAAAATGCTCGATGACGCAACGGAGAAAGTACGTTCACCCGACGCAGGCCTGGCTAGTCTTCTGCAACTACAGAGACTCTGCAGGCTCTTGCTCGAATACCACGATCCAGGTGATTACCGAAAAGAGGGGCATACTTTCATGTGCGCAAGGTTTCCCTTGATACCCGGCGAGGTATTGGACCAGCTGACCGCTGTGTGCATCGAGTTTGGCCACGCGGATCTGAGGCAGAAGGCTATGAAACAGCTCAGTGCCTCTTTTCAACGCCAAGTACGCGCCGATCGGACCATCGATGCTATCGGTCGCTTGTTGTACAAGACACAAGATGTCGAGCAGTTGAAGAAGGCGGACGGGTTCATCAAATCCCAGAACAGTATCAAAGACAAGATGGAGATGTGTGGTAAAGTTCAAGCAGCTTACGACCGAGCTGGAGATGCAGACGAGTAAGTGATGATGAACTGCTTTAGCGCGGCAGTTGAAGTACTGATAACCTTTGTAGTGAGAGTGCTCAGTCAAACATACCAGCTGCCATGGCTACCTGGCGGGCTTCCATCATCCGCGATACAGTATCTAACAGTACCTTCCTTAGCCTCAGAGATTGCCTACCATTGCTTGAAAGCAGCGGCGAACTCAACGACGAGTTTCTCGACAATACGCTTCGTTCCATGGCCAACAACTCAAGTTTCGCTGGCATGGAGACCTTTCTCGATGACATAGCCAAACTCAACGGCAAGATCCCAGACGCCTATATTCAACGCTATTGCAACATTTTTTTCGAGCCGAGAGCCTCAGATTCCATGGCTATCAGTCGGTATGATTTGAATCCCATGCGAAAGATTCTACAGCACCACGTGCCGGTGGCTGAGCCTGCGATACCTCGCGCGAGTACTGTCTCAAGAAGCTGCATGCGCCAACGATGGTGGCAGAGGTTCGCAAAGGGAAAGTCAAAGACGACGAGGTTGAAGATTTCGTTGTCATATCACAAACCTTTGGAGAGGAAGTTCCACCGCTTCTTCTCCCCCATCTTGGTGGATTTCTAAATGATCTCCCCTGGATAGTCCAACTGCTCATCCAAGTCAAGGACTTGGAGGGGTGGGCTTCAGAAACCTTCCTTCCGCAATTCAGCACCACCGTTCTCGAACCCGCCATCGAGCGAGCGAAACTAGTAGCCTCTAGACCGGACATACCTGTCGGCGAAATGATCCGCGATTCCTTCCCATTCCGCAGAAACATAGCGCCAGTCCGCGGCTCCAATGAGGGAGATCGGGGTGTTACGATGGAGGAACTGAAGCTGCTGATCCCGCTCCTCAAACGTTTAGCGCTAGAGCGTGTCGTAGATAGGCTGGCGCTGAGGATGCTGATGGATTTCGTTGACCTTGATTTCGAAGACTTTCGCGGCGTGCTCGGCGATGAGAAGACGGATGAGATGATGGAGAAGAAGAGGGCGATTGAAGAGGCGAAGGAGGCGAGGAAAAGGAAGGCTGCTGATGATGGTGGAAGGGGAAAGAAGAAGAGGGGAGGAGGGGGTCGGCGGTGAAGATGTGATACGTGCGAAAGACGATGAGATGTCGACAGGACACAGCTCCACTTCATACACTGCGACGAATAGCCAAACTAGCGGAGCCAGCGTCAACGTAGGCTCCAGGGTGTTCAGATTCTCCCTTGATTGCAATGAGACAGTACTTGCGACCCTGCGGCGCTCAGTCGTGGCTGCCTGAACTTCAATTCCACCGCGTTACCTAGATACTTGCTACCCATCACCGTTGCTGCGAAGCCTATATCCACCTGCTCTTGCACTCACCTTCTAACATGTAAGTTGCCGGTATGCGCGTCGTCGTGACTGTTCGTTCAGTAGGCTGGGATGTTGTACTGCTCCCAGAGTAGGTCCCGTCTGCTCCGCTCTTCGCAGATTACACAACCTTGGAAACCAGACTCCTCCGCTCATAACGACAGACCGACAACACCGAAGCGTCAGCGTTGTGTTGCGAGTTCAGCGCGCGTGTAAGAGATATCCTTGGCATTACACGATCAATGCTGCGTGTGGCTATCCAAGGTGGTGTCGCTGCCGTCCGCCCGCAAATCTGTGTAGGTCCGCAACCGCGGTGTAGCACGTCCTCAGCTAATAATGCCGTACTCTTCCTCCTCTTTCATATGTCGATGCTACGAAGACGTTCTTCTTATGATATGAACCTTACCAGCTGACGCGAAACTCAGAAGCAACAATTTCGTCATGATGGCGGCTCACAGAGACCTTTACCTCATACAAGAAAAAAACTAAACAGGCCTGCAGCCTACATCATCATGCAAACATGCAAAGTAGGTGACCTAACGTCGATGTAGGCTGCAGACCTGTTCAGTCTTTTCATGGGTTGACGTGCCTTAACAAAGACGTCGGCTCTTGGTACTGTCTTCACCAGCCTTGCCTAGGTATCCAGGCCATATATGTGGGCCTCCTAAAAAAACCTGGGAAATCGCCCATACGAATTCGAGAGGACATTCTACGTAGCAGCAGCGACATAGTGAGTAAGGACGCGCTCGCTCTACCGACGGAATCGAAGTACGCCGTCGCTACTTAGGTACGAAATGCGCTGGCCGCCACGCCGCGTTAATCGGTTCCAGCCAAACCGCCCTCTCACAACTAAGCAAGGACTCGCCTGGATCTATCAGCCCGTAGCAACACAATTATGCACATCTTATGCAACGCGACCTGCGACTCGTGTTCATTGCACAACGGAAAATCGGCTCCTGACAGCCCTCCAGGGCTTGAACATCGAATCGCAACAGTTGTATCTGCCTGTCCCCCCACCTCGAGCTATCCACCGTCACCGCCCTCGCGTCCCACATTTCCCAACCCACCTTTGCGTCTTTCCACGTCCTTCCACGTCACCATCTCCCAGGCAACGCCCTCAAGCCACTAGCGCCCTAGCGCCTCTCAGACTTTTCCTATGGCTATATAAACCCACCCCCCTCCGTCCCTCCTTCTGCTCTTTAGCTCTCTTTGCCTTTTGGCTTAGATCAAGTGTAGTATCTGTTCTTTTCAGTTTAATCTCTGAGTACGTCTCCTCCCACGCCTCTACGCTCGAAACTATTGTTGCTAACGTTAAAGCAGAACGTTCCTACGGGAACTTCAAGATTATTCTTATTTTTGAAACTAGCCGGAGGATCCCTGGGCTTGCTCATATCCTCTGGCACAGTGTCGCCTCTATCGCACTATCTGAGGCTGACGCGAATTATACCTTTTTCATTGAGACGATTGGCTTGCTCCAGTTGCTTGAGGAAGAAGAGACGCTTGCTGCTATGACCAACACATGCTCGTTGTAACGAAGCTGAGAGCTGTTGCGCTTGGTCGAGATTTTGCCAACATTTGCGCGCCAGAAGTGGGGCAATGTTGAGCAAAAACCTCGGTTGCTTGCCCAGGTGGGTACACGAACAAGCCTGCTCATTCAAAGTCGTACGAGACAACAGAGATCGCCTGTATGTACTCATCGCTCTTGTAGTCAATAGGCTCACAAAAAGTAAGATGGCGTATTCTTCCATACCGAGTATTCGTTGCAACTTGCCAAACGTGAGCTTCTGCGCAGTCGCCCTACGAAAGCCCCACGCCTGAGAACGATAAATCCACGTCTATACACCGTATCTTGGTTCATTGATGTGTTGCTGTTGAAACCTTCAGATTTCCGTTACTTTCAGAATACCTAGATATGTTTCGGTGTCGATAAGTGAGCTTTGTACTCCCAGTGCATGTCCAGACATACCCAGGCACCTATCATCACGTGCACTTACTGATCTTGTTGCTGAATAGATATAGACGTTTGCGGTTCCCATTTTAGCTTTCCGAGATCCCAATGCCAAACATTCCTGCTCTTCGGCAGTGACACAGAGCGACTGCATCGAGGCCGGAAGATATATTACCGCTGACGCCAAGTATCCAGGACTTGCCATATCAGACGAGCATCGTAGTACATGTCAACCCTAAGGTATATTGTCCCACATTAACGAGGCGCACATCTGCTGAGAGCGCGAATGCGGCGAGCTTTGCCATTTACCTCGTGGATCAAGATAGACAAGTGCTACACCAGCATCAGCATGCAACAAGTCGCATCGACGACCTAGGAAGCTTTCCGTTCTGTGTTGTATCGTTTGCTGTAGATATCGCGACGGCATCAAGACGCACCTACACGCTATGGTATCAGCAAGTACATGCCGACAATGAAATCGAAGTATAAAGTCATGGTCGATTGCAACGAATATCCACCACCCTCATCACTTCAACTCCTCACCAAAGCAAACAAAGTCTCCACGCTCAACCACAACCATGCATTCCGTCTCCATCATCGCAGTAGTCTTTGGCCTCTTCGCATCTCAGGCCACAGCTACAATTGCCCTGGGCAACAACGATAGTAACAACCGTAAGTCGACGACCTCTTCCACGTTGAACTGAAATCTGACAACAGGCCAGTGATGTGGATCTACGGCGACAACTCATGCAGTGGGGTGGTCAACCCCAACTGCGGCTCCCCGGTGAAGCTGAGGAACGGTTTCAGCTGTAAGTACTGCCTCTCCTCTCCCCCGTACCCCAAATCAGAGACGCATCCGTGTGCTAATTGCCTTCCGTACGCAGATGTTGTCAGGGGTTGCGGAACTGATACACGCTGGATCGAGAACGCTGATGGCGGTTTTAACGCTCAGTGCTCTCGCGTTAGCCCTCCTTTCGCCACTGATTGCGGTGTTCAGCTTACGTGGAAGTGTTGAGTGACGACTAGATGGTTGGCTGGAGGATCTCGCTGACCGACGGGTACTGAGAGTTATGGTTGACACTGTCCTTACCTTTGTTATACGTTGAAATGTGTTTGAATTCTGGGGCTAGAGTAGATGATGTTACGCTCGTTTATGGAGAGGATTCCTGGAAATCTGAAAGCGCTGCGCAGCCTTTAATCTAGTTCGCATATGCGGTGACGTGCTATTGCTTATGCCGTAGTACTTGGTGTGCTCGGCTTTCGTGCGATATTCGCCTGTCCTTTCCCAGAAGCATCTCTAAGACACGTACCACAATAAGATAACTAAAGCGGCCATAGTAGATAGCGGAGGAATGTGCTAAGTATATGGCAAGACTACTGTTTACGGCTTGAGAAACATGTATATCAACCTTCAACCGCAAAGTGAGCGGACAGTCTCGGTTTGTCCGTAATGCATGGGATAGATCGCGTACAGGACGTGCAATACATCTGCAAGATAGATCGATCGATCTTCATATAACATATTGGTGGACGTGGCGAAAGAAACAGCATCCCTCAGAAAGTAGAAGGTATAGTTCATTTGGGCTCTTCCTAGCAGGAGTAGTGCATCAGCGGGAACCAGGATCAAGATCTCTCGCATCTTTACTTCTGCCTAAGATAATTAACTTTATTTGCAGAATGGGTAGCTGAAGCGACGGAGTAGCGTACATGGGTATATGATCTACCGTGAACTCTCGCGGTCAGCACTAACAGTCCACCCGTTCCCAAGTGCATGTTTGCGATGCAGCACGTCATAATGTACAGTATGCCCATGGATACGCCTGGACGAATAAATCAGTTCTTGATGACTCCGGGATCGCGATGGAGAGTTCGGCTTTAAACGCATTCTAGAACTTTACTCTTCAAGTGTACACTCTAGATTAGCCATTGAGCCGGTGGCAGACCCAAAGACCATTTACAAGAAGCAGTAGAAGTCGTAGTATCGTGGAGACGTCCACCCCTCATATCTACTACACCTTGGCACTTCAATGCCTTGAAGCACCTGAGGCACGAAAAGAAGGACTGGCGTTGGTGTTGTGGCTACCGAGCCGCGTGCGTCGGATTTACCTAGGTAGCTGTTGGGATAGCCTGGCAGGGCTGACGTTTCGTTTCAAGCCAGCGATTGTTTCGAATGACGGCACGATCCGCTAAGGCAGATTGATGGAGGTTGGACGTGTAAGAAGTTTGATAAGAAGGAAAAGCTTGGTACTGGCCGTTGATGCGGGTGACGGAATCGTGATCCGAGTAGATGGGCGTGATGTGATGTGATGGTGGGGAAGAAGAAAAAGAAATGGTAGAGGATGCATGTTTCATGTGACGTCGCGGGGTGAGAAACAAGTGGCGTTTATCCAGAAATCGATTGCGAAAGCCACAGAGACATGCGGATGGAGTAGTGTCGACTGTTCCGGAGACGGCGCGCAGTGGGGAGCGCTTTCCGTTAATGCTGCGAGGCGGGAAGGTGCCAGACTGCCATCGTCATTTCCTTCTTTGGAACTCATCTCTAGCGCCTCATCGCTCTTGCACATTCTGCGGTCGGTCATAATTCTCTTCGCTCAATGTTTGAAGAGCTTCATGTGCACCTTCAACAGTATTGCTTCATTTACCTCGCACGTCGCGGCACAACACAAGCACCAGCGACATTGCGGACGGGCGGGAGCCACACGCAAAATGGAAACAAACACCAGGAACGTGACGAAAACAGTTGAGCTATCGACCTCATTTCCGAGCGATCAGTCAACGTTCGCTGAGAGTCGAGAACATGCTCATGTCGCTCGTTACGAGAAGACAAGCTTTTGCAGGGACTAGGCGCGGAACCTCATCAATCTTACGACCCGGCTGCCAGTTCCACGTCTCTCCAGCATCGTGCATATCGCGTGCATCGGCACTGGGATTGCGGCACTGAAGGCCAAAGTGGATGCGTTTGAGGCTTTCAGGCAGTTGAGGACTTGCGACAGGATGAGACGGTCAAAGTAGTCGCGAATGCTGGATGGGAACGGGGTTGTGGCTGTGTGTTATGCGGAAATGCACTGACAGCGGTGGCATGTCTCAAATGCACATGGTAGGGTGTGGCCTTGCTGGGCGCCTGGAGCAGAGAGAGCAAGGACGCTGGACGTGTGGCACTGTGGCTTCGTTCGGCGGACCGTTGCAGGCGACGCGACATCAGAAGGGATCGCGATGCCGACTAGAAGCCACGGAAGCTCCAGTGCTTCACCATGGGATAGTCGAAAGCGACGACGACTCAGGCGCGCCGGCGATGAAGTCACTTTGGGGCCCTTTGTGCAGACATGCGAGGCGGCAGGCGCAGGTCGCGGTCGCGCGTCGCACCATGGCCCACGCTTGCACAAAGACGGCCAACACTCCATCGACTGCTCCACCGCTGCCTTATCCACGCCTATCGACAAGCGTCCCCGCAAACACGAAAGCGCCCTCAACACGAGCTGATGGCGACGGTGGCACTGTGTCTCTCCTGTCGCACCGTGTGCTGGCAGTGGAGAATGGACCGAATCTCACGCATGCCTGCGCGAGTCCATTTTTGTCTCGCCCGGCTGCGTCTTTGCGCTGAATCTCGGCACGGTTGTGTGCCTTCACCGACAGCGCGCATCTGCCATGTACCCGCTCCTGTCGATGCTTCTAGCAGGGAGGATCTGCGCCATGGTCGCTTTCTATTTTGGCCAAGCGCCTTGAAACGCAATCTATGGGGGTTGTCGGCACGCAAAGAGACGGACTGACGAGACCATCGAGGGCCATCCCAGTGCACACGTCCAGCGCGACGGGGGGCGAGCAGGCAGAAGATCGTGACCTCTTTCCCAGCGGCTTCACCGCGCTGCGAGTCGACGGCAACGAAGAGTCTCGCCTCTCAGCGACGAGAGCTCGCGACCGGCGCATTCCCAGCGGCTGCCATGCCTCGAGCTTCCGCGTTGGCCCTCCTGAGTGGCTAGGCTCATGCATCCCCCTGAAGTTGTTCCTGGCTAAGAACGCCGCTGACTGGCCCCTGCCGCCGGTTGTTCCTGAACGAAATTAACACCCGCCAGGGGCCGACCATCTTAGGCGCATCTGTGCTGCCGTTAGCAGCCACCCAGGTGCTTAGGCCCCATCCTGCAACTGTCAGCCAGAGAGTTCATATACCGCCCTCCCTCGCTGTGTTTTTTCTCCTCACCCAAGGCAACTTTTCCTTACCACACTCGCTATCAACTGTCTTCGGACATCACATTCTTTGAACATCCAGTCACTCTTTCCTGGATTATCAACGTTTACGCCTGGACCTTTTGAATTCCCGTCAAATACCCCTTCAGTTTTAAGAGCCAGGATTTTTTGAACTTTCATCATGATGAAGCTTACCGTTGCCTTCTTGGCTGCTCTCGCCGCCGCCGATGCCGCTGAGGCTCGCAGCCACCGCCAGGCCCGTCGCCAATACGGTGCCACCGACTCCTACGGTGGTGGAAACAGCTACGAGAGTGGCAACAGCTACGGAAGTGGCAACAACGGCTACGGCAGCGGATACGGCGCCCAGCCCCCGGTTGTCGCCAGCTCTTCCGCCCCCGCCAGCTCTGCTGTTGTCAGCTCTGCTACTCCCGTAGAGACCCCCGAGGCCTCCACCGTCGCAACCCCCGTCTCCTCTTCGGTTGCTACCCCGGTCGTCTCCTCGTCCGCTGAGGTCCCATACATCCAGTCCTCTTCCCCGGCTTTCGAGACCTCCAGCACCCCTGCCGATGCTACCTACACTCCCAGCGTCCCTGCTGGCGGTGTCTCCAGCAGCACCCCCGAGGCTGCTACCAGCAGCATGGCCAGCTACCCCGTTGGCGGCGGCTACGGAGCTCCCTCTTCCGCCGTCCCTGAGGCTGCCACCTCCAGCTCTGCTGCCATCCCCACCATGAGCTCTGCTGCTTCCTCCTCCGCCTACGGCACCGGCTACTCTGCCGTTGTCTCCTCCGGTGGTGTCTCTTCCTCCGTTCCCGTTACTGCCTCTTCATCGGTCCCTGCTGGCGCTAGCTCCAGCTCTGTCCCCGGTGTTAGCATGAGCTCCGCTATCCCCTCCGGCTCCTACCCCGTCGGTGGTGGATACGGTGGCAAGCCCTCCTCTGCTTCCTCTGAGGTCCCCGAGGCTGCCACCAGCAGCTCCGTCGTTCCCGGCGTCAGCATGAGCTCTGCCATCCCCTCCGGCTCTTACCCAGTCGGCGGCGGCTACGGAGGTGTCCCCTCCTCGGTCGTTCCTGAGGCTGCCACCACCAGCAGCATGGCCGGAACTGGTCTCTACCCCACTGGCACTGCTATGGTCCCTACCGGCACTGGCATGGTTCCCAGTGGTGTCTCCTCCACCCCCATCAGCGACATGGTGACCTCCACCATCTACAGCACCCAGATCTTCACCAAGACTGCTTGCCCCCCTACCGTCACTGACTGCCCGGCCCACTCCACCGCGCTTGTCACCAGCGTCGTTGCCGTCGGCACCACCGTCTGCCCCGAGTCTGACCTCCCCAAGCCCACCGGCAGCTCGGCCATGACCAGCTCCTACCCCGTCTCTGAGGTCGTCCAGACCTACACCGAGACCCTAGTCTACACCGTCGGTGTTGGCTCGACTGCTCACCCAGTCACCACTGAGGTCACCTCCACCTCCACCTCCACCCAGTACTCCACTGTCGTCGTTACCGTCGGCAAGCCAACTCCTTCTGGTGAGGTTCCCTCTGAGGCTACTGGCCCTGCTGGCGGCGAGGGCTCCTACCCCACTGGCCCCGCCGGTGAGGAGGATGTCACTTCCACCATCAAGTCTACCTCCACCTCCACCAAGTACATCACCGTCAAGCCCACTCCCACTGGTGAGGGCGATGTCCCCGCTGACTCCGAGTCCAACCCCTCCGGCCCCGCTGGTGGTAACGGTGCCTACCCCACTGGCCCTGCTGGTGGTGAGGCCAAGCCCTCCACTCCTGCTGGAAGCGAGGGTGGTGAGGACTGCGCTGCTCCCGTCACTGTCACCGTAAC